TGTAAATAATTGTCTGCCAACCTGCACGCTCCACAGTTCTAACCACAGATTATGGCGGCTGACCCTATAAAAAGCAGCGGTACTTTTGAGAAAAGCTGTTGCCTTAGGCCTTTGCTCAAAATGTAGTTTGGTATGAAAAATTCAAAGCGAGAATTGCATGTGCATGAATCCTGCCTTCTACTTATGCCACACTTACAGCCAGACTCCAAAATGGGATCTTCCACCAAAATATGGCTTTGCCTGGAACACCATAAAATGCATCATAAACATAATGGGATTCCAAGCAAGCTTCAAACCTTCTTCGTAATTTCTTCACCAACTATGGCTATTAGAACTTGAAGTCTAACATCCAGGCAAAATTGATGTAAGTACAAATGTGAAAACTGATGCCAACTTAGTCTATGAGCTGGCAGGGTTCTGAGTGAAGGTGAACGTTTTGCAGTGAAGCGTGAAAATAACCTGAGAAACCACTTAGCGGCAAATGTTCATAATAATAATTTTTAAAATGCTGTTTTGGCTCTTTTTCTCCCTTCCCCCTATCCCATCTGTCACAACTCGGCCACTGTGGAATACTGAAATGCATCGGTGATGTTTGTTAACTTTTCATGATGGTAGGGAAACATTACTGGCTTTGGGACAGATACAGTCAGTACTGATCAGGACTCTTGGCTAAGAGGGCTTATAGGTCCTACATACAGCCTTAAATCAAGTATCTTATCATTTTTAGGCTGCTTCTACTTTCCAGCAGATTGAGGCTGAAAGAGAAAATAAGCACTCCTTGCCTGCCTCAAAATGTGTGCTAAACATTAGTCAGTTAGTAGATGTTATTTTTTATGCCCAGTAACGACCACAATACAGTATGAGCACAAATCACACAACTACAAAATGAAAAACACTACATGCACCAAACCAGGACAAATCTATAATGTCCAGAATTTAAAAACACGCCTTCTAGTCAGCATCCCTAGGGTTTGGCACTTGCACTATCCAGAAAGGTTGCCGTTATATTTCTTGTCACTAGTGCAAACAGCACCTCTCTATAGCTGATGCACTTATTGACATCTGCCAACAGACATTTAATTTTCAAAGCATCTGGTTGACCTTCTAAGGAGATCTGAAAAGAGGAGGTAAGTTTAACTCTGGGTGAGTCATACAATGGACAATTAATATCATTAGTATCAGAAGCCGGATTGGAAGGTGGTGATTGGAAGCAACTAATATGGCTTTCCCCACATTATCTGACTTCCATGTCCATAAACTTCGTACCTGGAGTGGATTCATACCTTGCAGATTTTTGACCCTGGCAGTTCTTGGTATGGGATCTAGCCACAGGAAGGAAGCTTCCATGAAAACCTAATTGTGTATCAGTCTCATACTTGTTATATCAACTGAGACCGTTTCCCTTTAAGTCTATTCTAGGGGCTTTGTTATACCAGGATAGAGCAGAAAGGAGAGAAAGAATGAAGATTCACTCCACATTGCTAATAGCCTTATAATTTGCATACTTCAGTACCACACTTAAGAAGTCTATTAAAAATTGGTGTAGGAACACAGTTCTGCCCGCCAGCCCACCACACATACAAAACACTTTGTGATTTTTCGGGTCATCGCATTAACATATGCAAAGTTGCTACACTAGAAAGCCAATTGATGCAGCCATGACCTACAAATACCAAAATGCTACATTTCTGGCTCACAACCTTTGACAAATAGAAATGGTCTTAATTGAGGTGCAAATGAATTCCAGGTGCAAGAACGTCCTTGGCGATGCTATGGCTCTGGAAGAATGGAACAGCATGCACAAAAGCTCACAATGTCCTCGGAATGCCACTCTTAATGCTTGCACCTTGACACGGAGAATAAAAAAGGCCGCTAAGGAAGCATGGGGTGTCCTGAGATGAACAAAGAGTAAGTTGAAATGTGGGGGTTCAGCCTGTTGGCAATAAGACCAGACCAGACTGCAGCAGCACTTATTGTGCAAACCCTACTACAAGTAAGTGTGGCTTGACAGCGCTCAGCGAGGGAGTGGAAAATGTTATCTCCTCAAGCATTAGGAAGGACCCAGTTAATATGGAGCAAGGTGAAAAATTTGCTCTCACTGGCTTTTATAATTTTATGACAGTTCCCTCATACACTTGAATGACCAAGAAACGGAAGCCAGGCTGGATAGCTCAGTCGGTAGAGTGTGAGACTCGTAATCACGGGCTTGTGCGTTGAAGCCCCACATTCGAGCATTGCAGGGGGTTGGACTAAATGACCCTTGTGGGCCCTTCCAACTCTGCAATTCTATGAAACTATGAATACAGAAGGTATGTCTGTTAGAGGCTGGATTTGCTAGATGTTTTAGCCTGTCCAGGCAGTTTGCGATGCTGTAGTGATTAGCACAAAATATACCCCTCAGTACACTATCACTGGGTAGCCTGGGCTTTACTGATAGCAGTACAACACTTGCAATATGTAAACCTCTTTGTGACGGACAGATCAGTCTATTTCTGGTCCAAGTCAAATTCACATGTGGTTTTTCATCAAGTCCATTCTGTCCGACTGCAGCATTAATTTGCATGTTGTTGTTTTTTTAAGTACAGAAATCTGTATTTAAATATGAACTTTGATGTATATTAAAATAATATTTTATTTCAATGTACGTATTTCTAAGCTCATTTTATCATAAAATATCCAGTTTTAATGTGTTCTGGTATGCCTAAATTACAAAGCCCAGAGAACTGTAAAATTCATGAGGTAATTACATTCTTATCTGTGTATTAGTCCAAGAGGTCAGTATGCTAAAAATGTGAACCCCCAAAAGTTCTCTGCTCCTGCTCCCCCCACACAATTAGCAAGCTCCATTTGTCCTAGTGACAGGGGTTTCTGATACCATTTAATAAACAACAACCCTACAAACTACTTTGTTGCTGTCTTCTAATAACTAGGCTCCTTATTTCAGAATGAGCCCCCTAAAATTAATTTGTGAGCAGCAGGCACTGAGAAAAAATTAACACAATTACTGGAGGTATGGAGAGAATACTGCCTTTAGTGCAAGCATGAATTCCTGAAAGTAACACCTAGGGATAATAACAGCAACATAGCTGACAACTGTATCTGTCCTAGTCAAAGGAAATAGTTAACATAAATAAAGCAAGGGGGAGAACTGTCATATATTTTTATTAACGCCCCCAACCCCCAATGTTTCTGGACATTAAACTGAGAGAATGAAAGAGAGATGTGCTCTTTGGCTGCCGTTTGCTGTAATTAAGCTTTGAAATCTAGCGTTCTAATAAAAAATGCATATGGTAAGAGTTGGCTAGAAAATTCCCTGGTCATTTTGCTTTCCCTTTCCTTATTCTGTGAGGATTCTCAGGATGCAGACAGGGAACTTTGGTGGCAAACAAGAAAGCCTAATCAAGAAGACAGAACACATTAGATATCTGCAGTGCCTTACATGTTCAAGTTAATTAAATAGGATTCACGGCTAGTGCTTCCGCTAGATGCTATGCAGAAGCTCATACATGGGAAAGAAGGGGAACCATGGATGATTATCTTTATTAATAATAGTATGCAGAAATATCACAAAGCAGAGCATGTGTCCAAAGCCCTGGACTGAAAAGACTGATTGGTTCATGCACATACATCACTTGAGCTCTCATCACCAGGAATGCCAACTTGACTAAAATATTGGGGGAGACCAGGCAAGCCCTGCCCTGCATAACTGATCACAAGATGCGGTGCATGCACACCATTTGAATGGCAATGCCGATCAACTTGGGTGGGGCTGCCCTCTCAAATATTTTATGGGGGGGGACCAAAGGGAGTCGGCTCCCATGCTCATCACCGTAAGATTCAGCAAGGATAGCTCTCAGATGACTGTGTGGGACTTTCCATTAACATAACTGTACAGTGGTACCTCGGGTTAAGTACTTAATTCGTACCGGAGGTCCGTACTTAACCTGAAACTGTTCTTAGCCTGAAGCACCACTTTAGCTAATGGGGCCTCCCGCTGCCGCCGTACCGCCGGAGCACAATTTCTGTTCTCATCCTGAAGCAAAGTTCTTAACCTGAAGCACTATTTCTGGGTTAGCGGAGTCTGTAACCTGAAGCGTCTGTAACCTGAAGCGTATGTAACCCAAGGTACCACTGTATTCCCATCTTCATGCATGGAAGATGCTACATGATGCTATGGTCCATGAGCTGTGACATAGGTGTGAACCTGTCCATAATCATAGAATTGCAGAATTGGAAGGACCCCAAGGGTCGTCTTAGTCCACCTCTCTGCAATGCAGGATTCTTTTGCCCAATGTGGGGGGGGGGGTAGAACCCACGACCCTGGTCTCATGCTCTACCAACAGAGCTATTCCAGAAGAGTTGCTGAAATGAAGGAACCACTTTGAGGGGGTTCTTCTACACAATCAAGCAGGGCATAAATGTTAGGAAATACATAAAAAGTGAAACAAATAGAGAACCTACCCAAGGGACATTGACAAAACCCCACATACATGCTAAGTATTACCAGCCCAAACCCCTCCCCCCTTCTCTCCCCCATCTCCTTCAACCCCAACCTTATTCTGTAGGCAACACTAATGTCTCACATCAAATGTAAAAAAGACTCTACAACCTGAAAAAAGAGACAAGACACGTTCTTTTGTAAACCAAGAATTAAAAAATAATAATTAAAAAGTGAGTCCACATGGCTAGTTAATGCATTTGTTTGTCCACATGAACCCCCTTCCACCCCTTGTTAAGCAACGAGAAGGCTGATGACATGTGATAATGTAATGGCCAAAAACCAAAGAAGCCATGGGATAGAAAACTCCGTCCTATCCCGCTATGTAAATTGACCTTATGAAAATCTCACTGCCTCAGATTTTATGCATTTAGTGGTGACGTACCTCTGAAAATGTTCCTTGGCTGTCTTCACTTCCTTCAGGACTGTGCTACTGAGATAATGTAAAATGGCTGCTGGAGGGTGGGGTGGGAGGCATAAGAAACCACAAATCTATGCTTACCTGAGCAGGTGGTGGCGGCTGTACATAACCCTGCGGTGGAGGTGCAGCTTGCAGTACTTGCTGGGATACGGGTGGACCCGAACCTGCAAAACCTCCGGGAGGGAGCTGTTGGCTGGATGCCATGACGTAACCAGTCTGTGGGGAAGACTGCTGTATAATAGGTGATGGGTAGACAGGACCAGAAGGCGAATCAGGGTTGTCTCCTGACGACTGACGACTTAAACTCATCTGGCTAAACTGTGTTGTCATGTCATCTCGCTGTGAGGCAAAAGTCAGTTGAAAATGATCAACAGAGATCTCTGCAGCGGATATTTAGAAAACAAAAAAAAAATGGGTTCAAACAAGCATGCAGAAGAAGCAGGGGGAAAATACATTTAGGCACATACGCACACCAACACAAAATTAAGCGAAAACAAACAAACATAATCCTAAAAGCAAGTAAAAACATCTCCATCATCCCCAATTAAACCACCCCCCTTCCCGAATCTAAATGGGGAATTCTACATTTGTCTTGATGGCACCTTGAGAAGATTCTTCTCTCCTGGTATTGATCTGACCCCATAACTTTTGATGGCGAAAGTTAATAAGAACAGTTTCTCAGCCACCCCCAAAGGAAGACGAATGGTTTACAAACATACTTTTAAAAAAAGACTCCAGATCCTAATTGTTTCTACTCAGAAGTAAGCCCCAGAGTTCAATGAGACTTACGCCCAGGCAAGTGTGTATAGGACTGCAGTCTAAGGGTTTTAAGGGGCCTGGATGTTCCACTGCTGATACACAAACACTTGGGCCATTAATGCCACCAACTCCTTTAAGGAACCCAGCTGATCAGCCTCATCCATAGACGTTCCCTGTAATGGTCATCTGGCAGTGGAAACATATGTGCTTCCTCATCAATTCAGTGTCAATGATAACGCCTCAGGAAAAACTATTTCATAAGCAGAGCAATGAAAGTTGAGGCCTGTACTCAACAGTAGCTCCATACTGTAGCTCAGTGTTCCCCAACCTTGGGCCTCCAGCTGTTTTTGGACTACAACTCCCATCATCCCTCGCTAGCAAGACCAGTGGTCAAGGATGATGGGAATTGTAGTCCAAAAACAGCTGGAGGCCCAAGGTTGGGGAACACTGCTGACTGCAGGGGAAACCAATTAATGAATGCAGGTTTATAAAAAATATGACAATCTACCAAACGTTCATCTTATCAAGTGTCTTTCCAAACAATTCTCAAGAAGGCTACAAATGCAGTTAATGGTATCTCATATTGCTGAGAAAATCTTTTATTGGGCATTGTCAGTAAAAATAAATAACTTTAAAAAGAAAAAAAATAAGTCCTGGTTTTCTCTTTGATTTTAAACCCTAAAGGGTTATTTATTGTTGCTTTTGTCTCATGAAATGACCGGAGAAAATGTGTTGTTTTAGAATGACCTAGAAAATGAAGGGAAAGAAACAGCTGGGATGAAGGTCTAAACACACCTGCCAGCCTACCTAACCTATTAAAATGTCAACTGTAATCAACAGTAACTTAATTGCAATCCTTAAACTGCATGTCAAAGTTAGCTTCACACGGGCAGTTTGACTTTTACATTTGGGATGCCCTATGTCACAAGCCTCTAACCAGTGCAGAGCCCTAGCTGCCTCAATGTTTCCGTAGCTCATTCCCTTAGTTCATCTTTGCATCCTCTCAAGTTTTTACCTTGGGCAATCGCTTGGCTAGCATACCTAGACTGAGAATAAGAAAATGCCGAAGTCTATTTGGCTGTCTAGGCAAATCAGACAAGAGTTGGGGAAGTTACTGAACTTGACAAGAGCAAAAGTACATACGCCTGTGCTGGGGAACGATAAAGAAGTAACCTCTTCCAGCAGCAAATGGTCAAGGTCACCTTGTACGAGTCTGTAAGCCCTTTCAGGCATTCACCAGCTCTTCCCATTATAAGTATGGTCTCCTCAAGTGTGCTTAGTTATTTTGCATTCTACTAATAAATCAAGTTTGTTCTTGCTTTGCCATGATACAGTAAGCCTCACCATATTTCTCTGCTATTAATCAGTGATGTATTTGCAGCAGTTGTTTTTCATGGAGTATGTCACAGAACACATCACAAAGAGAGCTGGTGCTCTTTGTCCCTCGTCCAAAAACCTGTCTCTGAGATGGGTATCTTTTTGAAATTCTTTGTGGGAAACCTGATGCGTCTTCAGAGAGATGCACTAACTCCCTGCCGCCTTGTTTTGCTACGGTTTTGCCCACACAATATTTTCTATGTTGTACTCTTGCATGTACAATAACATGCATTCACACGCAGCTCTTCGTCGGGAAGCACTTTGGATGGGTGTTTGTGGTGCTACCTCTGCCTGCGACCATTGACAGCTCCAAAGGAGACAGCTAGAAGTCTAGCAGAAGCAATCGTGTGCCCCAAGCCCCTATTTACTGAGATGATTTGGACTCACCCCACCGCAGTTGGTGCTAATTGCTTGGCCTAGATTGCCTGATATACCTGTTCCACAGTAACCTTCACCAACCAATTCAGATCTCCTCCAGAGGGCTGGGGGGGGGAAATGTGGAAGGGTTGGTTCTCTGCTACCTGGTTCCTAACTCCCCTCTGAAGTTCCCGCAATGATGATGATGATAATGATGACTTCTCCTGGTCAACTGACCTTTCCAGCTTCTTTGCCTACCCCTCTCTCCTTTTCTGACTGAGAAAGGTCCTGCCAGTGTAACTGTGATGTTGGGATCCCTCCAGACCAGCAGTGTAAACCCCAAGGTATTGCCACTGCACTGTAGGGGCTGGACCAAAGTATGTATGGGCATTCATTTCCTACTGCAAAGTATGTTTCCCTTCCACATGGCTGCAAGAGACCCCATGTTTTCTTTTTGAAAAGAAAAATCACAAGGTTCATGCAAATATCTTCTGCGCCAAACACAACATCTTGTGGAAGCCTTACTGAATCCTGAAATTCAGTCCAAGCTCTTACAAAACGAACCCTGAACTACTTCCTAACCAATGTCTATACACTCAAAACACAAGTAGCTCAAAAACAAAACCACAGGTGTAACTGTAAATGCTAAAAAGGGGGAATTATTCATGCTGGTGATGCCGTATCTTTAGCGCTCTAAACACACATGAAAATAGAACAAATTGAACCAGGAGGTTTAAAAGGCAACCACCTTAGAATAATAATTCATCAATCATTAATTTGGGAAGGCAGACAAACACATGCTTCCGGGAATCTTGCACCATTTTCTAGATATATATTTTTTGGCTGTGCAGGCCTAAGTGACAAGCAGTTCCAGCATCACTGAGTAAGACAAGAGATTTACAGCAATTATCTTCTGTTTCTCTCCAGTTCTCCAGATAGCAATGCCCCCAAACAGAAAGCAAGCTCAGGCAATGTAATCAATCCACATAAAAAGTAATAAAATCTGTAGTACCACAGGAAACTGCTGTGTTGGAGACACTGCCAGAAGATGCTGAGGAGGATAGGAAACGGCTGGATACTGCACTGACTGAGAAGAAGGCTGCAGAGCCTGAACTGGCTGAGGCAGAAAGGAAACAGAACAGAAGCCGGGAAGGGAAAGATTCAATTATTGTCCTCAGACAAAGACAGACAATTCTTAATTTGAGCCAAGGTCGGAACAATAGCCTGCAAATAAAGATGACATCTTCCAGCTCATCTAGCATAGGGCGCAATAGGTCAGGTATAGTTGTTTTAAGACTGCATTCCCCGCTCCTGCATGCCTGCAATACTATCTCAGTGGCGAAAAGCCTGTTTGATTTAACACTAAGAAACACAACACTTTCCAATGCAATGCTGATGTAATGCTCTTACTCGGATGACGTGAGGGCTTGTACAACTGTGCTGGCATTGGGACTGATGTGGCATTTACTGCCGAGGAGCAAGCCATAGAAAATGTGCTTTGAAAATGTGTACCTAGCACCGTGGGTTCTTTCTTGGTGTGAATCTCTTATATTACTGGGGGAAACTAGCAAGGATCCTGTTAACACTTAGCTTTACTGTGCACAACCTAGCAATAACAACCAGGATGCAATCGCCATCATGCCCATTAGGAGAAAAAGCTGGGTCACTTAAATAAAGCTTCTGCATATACTCTGCTTTTCTACAAGTTTAGTTCCCCACCACCATCTGCCTCAGTATCTGGAGATATGCGTGCGAATAATTTGCATGTCTCCTAGGGATTATTAGCATCAGAAAGGATGTTAGCTACATCATGCCAAATTCAGTGACAATTATATTCCAAAGCAAATTTGTATCTCAAATAGGATTGTTCCTCCTCCTTTTCTTTTGTTTGGCAGAGCAGGCAAATCTTTTCCTAGCATAGAGATCACTCCCCCCCCTCCCAGCTTCACAGGAGCTCTCTAGCTAGGGTCCTTCATTATGTGCCCCCCTCCATTGGGGTAGGGGAGGGAGGCTGGCAACAAGAGAACGGGTCATTTCAATGGTGGCCCACCATTTGTGGAATGTTTTCTCCGGGGAGGCAAACCTGGCACCATAGATTTAAGTGTCATGCAAATACCTTTTCCCCCTGCACTTTTGGCCTCTCCTAAGTGCACTGTGTTTTCATTAACTGTGCATTTTTGAGTTTTTTATTTGAATTGTTCTGCTTTTAGGTCTTTATTGTTGCTTTAAATAGGTTTTAATGTAAATCACTTTGAGTGGATTTATGTAGGATTCAGTTGATGATGGGTGGGGGGAGGGGAAGCAGAGAGCGCCAATGTCTCAAAGAAACGGATGGCTCACAATAGTCAGAACCAATTGGATGTCCATGCATAGCCACTGCTGAATTGGCCTTGTGGATGGGATACATTATATGGAGAAGTGCTGTTTACCTATGGAGGAGGTATATGTGGCTGGTGCAATGCACAGCTTGGAAGGCTTGCCATGGTAATGCAAACAAACCTCCTAAATTATATCGGTTTGGGGACAGTGAGCAGGAGAAATCCATTATATTTATAGGCTCAGAGGGGTGCACTGGATGACCCCTTGCAAAGCTGCTGAGGGAAACAACTATTTGTGTGTCATCTGTAAAAGTTGTGCCTTAGAGTCATCGGTGTTTCAAGGTGTCACTGGATGCAAATCTAGCATGATGCGCTACTTCAGTGCCTTAACTGCTCCTTGTCTGGCTGGGCCAAGAATAAGGCAGCACCAAATAATACTGCTCTAATAGACTCACACTGGATCCATAGCTGCTAGCATATAGGCAGACATTTCCCCCTTACCTGCGTGACAAGGTGACTTGTAATTTGTTGCTGTGGTTGCTGCACAGGTTGCTGGGATGAAGGCGGTTGCTGAGACTGTCCAACTATCTGGCTTCTAATAGGCTGTTGACTGCTGGGTGGGTTGTATATTGCAGGTGTACCATCAGGGTTTACAAATGGTTGACCTGGAACAAATCAATCTTTAATGTACTTTTCAAGACAACTTTGCAAAAAAAGAGCAACCACCAAACAAAGAACTAGAGCAACATATTTAATTCTCTTAGAAATGTATGGATATCTTCCCCAGACCCTTAAGTACTGATTAATGGAAATGTTCCAAGTTCAAAGCAACAAGGTTAGATTTTTGTTTTTTTGCCGTTGAGACTTTGTCAGCCATTAGCCAATCTTTTCTCTTAAAGTGCACTAAATCAGAAATTATAGAATCTGAATAAATTGTTAAGTTCACTATGCTTGTTCTTCTCTAAGACAAATGAATTAAGTGCAATTAGTTAAGGACTGTATCAGTTAGAGATATAGGTAGGTAGCCATGTTGGTCTGCCATAGTCAAAACAAAATAAAAAAATTCCTTCCAGTAGCACCTTAGAGACCAACTAAGTTTGTTATTGGTATGAGCTTTCGTGTGAATGCACACTTCTTCAGATACATATATCAGTTAGTACAACTGACTGATTAAGAGTGCAATCCTACATGCCTTCTCAGCAGTAAGACCAAATTCAAAGGGACTTACACTCAGAAAAATATATATGGGATTGTAGCCTAATGTGGAACTTTAACTGATCTTTAGCTGAAGCCATCAGATCATAGATAGATGCTTTCTTCAGCATAGATAGATGCTTTCTTCCTTTTGAGAGCTTATGACCCATGCTGATCTTCTTTCAAATAATAACTGCATTCCAGTAAGCTCTTAATGCATTAAGGGTTCTTAATGAAAAATTTAACTCCAGGTATCCATTCGCTCCCTCTGTGCTGACATGCTATGTATTAGGTCTCCACATTTTTCTTTTGGTGGTACATTATTAATGGCGCTGTTCACTGCTCATGAAATACCTATTCAGTGCATAGTTTACTGATGAGGTAGTTTCTTTGCCCAAAGGCAGGAACCTTGTTTGGACATTGCCCTTCATGTGATTGTAACTTCACCTGTAGATCCCCAAGGAAAGATGTGGTCTCTCACTACAAGATATCTGTCTCTTGGAAACTGCAATTTCTGTTTTAGTAATGATCAGCACCCAGATTTTTCTATGGGCTGTGGTTTGCCAAAATATTAGGAAACACGAAACCAACTGACCTGTGTGTGGATTGAGCAGGATACTTCCCGGTGGAATCCCTGCAGCTTCAAGTGGAAGTATGATGTAGCTGGTGTTGTTTGCTACTACCTGGCCACTTATTCCATTGTCTGTATAGGGAACATTGCTCGAAGAGGTGGCTGTAACTCCAGGGACAACTGATGCACTTTGGAGAGGTTGATGTGTTCGTGACAGAGATCCTGAGGACCCAGCACTGCTGGAAGACTCTGAACCTGAAAAAAAAAGCCAGGTTTACTGTAATAAACACTACATCCACAGGGTAGACAGGGCTTATGGACTGAGCAACAGCCACATTACTAAGTAACTTATACAAAACAAATTATTTATCTGTAACCTCATCCAAAGCATCCCCCCCCCAACTGCAATCTTGGATGAGTTTGCAAAGCCTTCTAGTATCGCTTGGGGACCATGGTTGTGACATGCAACAGTGCAAGCACCTCATCCAACATGGAATAGAGAAACCTGTGGGTGGCATATATTGCCGACGAAAATTTCATGTTACAAATGAGAGCCGACTCATGATCATTGACCAGGTATAATATGGCTATGCTCTACCAGGTGTGTGTATGTTTAAAATGCATTTGATGACATCCAGTCAGCTGGTTTGTAGAATGGACTTATGCTCATGCAACTGACTCCATTTCTCTCTCCCTTCCTGCAGTCCCTGCTAACCACCCAAAAATCAGCTCTGGACGGCTGGGAGACCCTCCAGAGCATATTCAAAGCATAGGGGGCTACAGGGTGGAGGAGAGGAAGGGGAAGTTTCATTGTGCTGGTGGAAGTCTGCTTGCACAGCACTGGGTATTACCCATGGGGCTGGATCTAAACTAGTCATAACATTACTAGTAGAATGCAGCAGCTTTAGCTGACTTCCTAATTGCAAGCCAAGGTCGGTGTCGTGGTGGGATTCTGGGCTTGTTCAACACGAAGCAGGATCTGCGCAGGGCACCCAGAGTCAAAGCAGCCCCACCCCCCAAAAAACACCTTGTGGTATCCAAAGTCAGAGAGCAAAGCCAGGGATAATGTTTGGCAAAGAGTGGTGAGATTGTGAAGCATCCTGTGGCACTGCCTAGCAAATCACATTGTCGGGTCAATGGGAAACAAGGTCTCACCCCTTTTCAAGCACCCTCCCTTGTGGAGCGTTCCCTCAGCCTTCTCTCTGTTCCCCTCTCCTTGGGAGTCCTCCAGGCAGCTGCCGCAGCCACCCCTGGTCTCTGAGCCACCTCAGCTCCTGGCAACCAGCACCCCCTGGCCAGCCCCAGAGGTACCATTTGCCTGGGGAGTTTGCAGCCAGGGCTGCTGCAATGAATAGCTGTGCAAGCCTTTGGGGGGCAGAGATGCAAGGGGGCATCAGAGGAGGGAAGGAAAGGGGACAAAGGCCAGTCTGACCATCTTTCAAGGCACCCCAAGGTACCATGGCACACTGGTTGAAAGCCTTAGCAAATCCACACTGTAGCTGGAACTCAACATTTCTACCATTCCTTATTTTAAATTTCCAGGTTTAAGATGCCTCTGGTGCAGATTACAATTACAGACTACAACACTAGCAATGGTCACTGTGTGGTTCATATAACTACACTAAAGTTGTGTCCATAGTTGCTTTGACATAGTGTTCTATTGTTTACGAAGAGGAGGGGGAGGAACCAATTTTTTTAAAGCTCTCATTAATGCTCCCACCCCATGGATGCAAACATTGCAGCTGTATAGCTGCATTACATTTACATCGTTTTAACTGAATATTTTGATGATGTCATACATTGCAGGAGTGCAGCCCAAGTGATTTGTTAAATTATTAACTTTCCCAGCCTCGGTATTGATTTATAGCTTTAATAATGCATCCTTCCATATCCATTATAGCTCACAATATGTGAGCAACAAGGTAGTATAATATTGGCAAGGGATAAACTATGCTTTTAAATTAAAATGGATTTTTTTGGGGGGTCAGCACAACAACATGTGATTAAAGTGTAAAGGGAGGTTAGTAATAACGTTTAGAGATGCTCAGCTAATTGTGGTGACTGAGTACTGTCATATCACTAGAGTTCTTTGTTGTTTGCTTTGTGGGGACTAACAAAGTAGTAAATGAATGTGGTGGACGAATGCAGAACATTCAGGATGATGAATGCCATATAGGAGGACCCAAGGGCCATAATTGCTGTTGGCCAACTTTCTGAGGGCCGCATGGCCAACATGAAAGTGAACATAACCCAGGTTTGAGCACAGAAATATGAATGTTATGTAGGCAGACCTACACAGGGAGTTAGAGATGCACACAAACAGGCAGGCAGGCAGGCAGGCAGGCAGACACACTGAGGCATACAGACCCCCAGCTGCATTGTCAATCTGTGCCCATCAGTAGAGGAGAGGGGTGGGAATCATCCTTCCTAACACAGTACTGAGCTTGGCAGAGAGGTTATTCTCCCCCTAGCCTCTGATTATTTTGAAAAAGTGCCTTTTATCTCATGCATTCTGCTAGTGGAAGAGAATAAAAGTGCCCAGGAAAGCAGAGCACACTCACTCTTTCCTCTCCCTGGAACACTCCAATCTTCTAGCCATGATGGCATACAAGTGGGAGGATTTTGCTGAGCGTTGGAGAGCTACTTCATGGGCAGCAGGTTCACCACATCCTGCTGTATAATTTACACATTTTTTTTTTAGAAAGAGTGCACAAGAGCGAAATCTTAATGTATTTGCCTGCGATGAAATAATTCAGTCAACTTCCAATGCCTGTAAATTATCATAATCTTCAGCCAACTGTTCTTCTTGGAAGTGTTTTTTCTTGTTATCATCTGGAGTGTAAGAACTGATCTAGCTAAAGAAAATATTCATGTGTGCATATGCATAGGTTGGCTAGGCTTTGTGCAGCTGCTACTGATATATGCAATTTAACATGGGTATCGGCTGTGTTCCATTCTAACAGCTGAGATTCCTGAATTGCAAGGGGTTGGGCTAGATGACCCTTGGGTGCCTTCTAACTCTACAATTCTATGATTCTTTCGCCCTATACCTATTTTAAAGATACAAGGTTTCAAACGAAACCTCATCTGGTAGCCTCAGGAAATATCAATAAGAGACAAGGGGACATCATGACAAGCAACTATATTCTTTTGCAGGAAATATCATAGGAAAAAAATTAGTTACTTCAAAATATAAATCACACTACTTCAGGAGAATAACAGGAAAAAGTTATCATGAGTTGACTCTTTCCTGTTAAAAGAGACTGCATAGACTTAGCATTTTTTCTTTATGATGTCTAAAGTATTTGTTTTATGAGGAGTCTTACAAATATATATTATAAATAAATAAATTAGTCTCCTTAAAATGATTTGATCTATAAGAACTAGCACACATGAAGTATACAAGTGTCTATAGCTGTGCTTCGGCAGGGAACTGATGTAATCAGCAGCTGAATTGTTCTACCTTTCTAAATCATCCATAATCAGTAGATTCTTGTGAAGAATCAGTTACAGACTTGCACTTCTTTAGAGTGCAGGCGAGGAATTGGTTGTTTGAATATTCTTCCACATCAATAACTCTCTGCACATACCTAGGTAACCTATCACACTGGAATGGGAACCCTTTTTATATGGGGAAGCATTTTTCATTCAATCCTCCCCTCATCTACAGCCTGAAGTGATACAATCTTGCAACAGATAATTTATGCTTGTCTACAGAAAACCTTGAGGCTCTTTGTCAGTGACCACAAATAGATGCTTTTACTGGAAGCGACTTAGCCTTTCACTGCTGCAGCCAAGCAATCTCAAAAGCAGCAAGTAACGATAATCCTCTGCATGAGTAAGCTCTACTGAATTCAGTGGGATTTAGTCCCAGGTAAATGTGTATTGGATTGCAGCCTATGTTTACCAGGGCTATGTTAGCTATCACAAAATTAAACATAATTCTCAAAAACCAGTAGGTTAAATATGACAAAGGGTACTGGGATGGGTGATTTTTATGGCAGGGGTTCCCAAACTGTGGTCCACGAACCACCAGTGGTCCATCAGCTTCATTTGGATGGTCTGTGACATGTCTGTGGATTTGTGGTTGAAGATGGGAGATGACACATCCATTGTATTAAATTTCAATTGCTATAGCAAGCAGGAAAATCTGTAAGTGGTCTGCCAAGACCCTCAGCAAAAGTTTGGGAACCAGTTTTATGCTCCTGGAAACTGATAATGAATGGTTGCCATACGTAAACAGAAGACCAGTTTGACTTCTTAACTTGTCTTCCGTCTGTAACTACTAAAGGTAAAGGTAAAGGTACCCCTGCCCATACGGGTCAGTCTTGCCAGACTCTAGGGTTGTGCGCTCATCTCACTCTATAGGCTGGGAGCCAGCGCTGTCCGCAGACACTTCCGGGTCACGTGGCCAGCGTGACAAGCTGCATCTGGCGAGCCAGCGCAGCACATGGAACGCCGTTTACCTTCCCGCTGGTAAGCGGTCCCTATTTATCTACTTGCACCCGGGGGTGCTTTCGAACTGCTAGGTTGGCAGGCGCTGGGACCGAACGATGGGAGCGCACCCCGCCGCGGGGATTCGAACCGCCGACCTTTCGATCGGCAAGTCCTAGACACTGAGGTTTTACCCACAGCGCCACCCGTCGATTTTTATGGTAGGGGTTCCCAAACTGTGGTCCACAAACCATCAGTGGTCCATCAGCTTCATTTGGATGGTCTGTGGCATGACTGTGGATTTGTGGTTGAAGATGGGAGATGACACATCCATTGTATTAAATATCCCTACGGATTTCAATTGCTACAGCAGGCAGGGAAATCTCTAAGTGCCAAGACCCACAGCAAAAGTTTGGCAACCAGTTTTATGAACTATGTTCCTATGATAATGAATGCTTACCATACATAAACAGAAGACCAATTTGACTTTTTAACTTGTCTACCATCTGTAACCACAAGACAGTTCCAAACAGAAGACAAGTATTGGTGTTTGCTGGATGACAGATTTTTACTTATAAACTTTTCCTGCACTATCAAGAATGTTGCAGTTTGCCGTAGCAGGGACACACTTTCTTTGAGCGTTCAGACTAAAGGTCCATCTAGCCGAGCCTTCTGTTTATGACAGCATGCCTCTTGCAAGTTTGCAGGCAAGGGATGAAGCCAACAATCTACAACCACCCCCTGTTGGTTTCCAGCACTTGATATGCAGCAGTTTGCAACCTCTAAATGGGAAGGTTCCATTCAGCTGCCGTGGACCTATT